CACAGCTGTTTTTGTTATGTTAACAATGACTGGACTTTTCCCAGACAACACCTTGTATAGTAAATGTAAGCTTTTTATGCAAACACAGTAACCCAACAAATCCTCACAAAATTACTAAAAAATCCCATTTTACAGGAGATCAAACTGGGCTCACAGAAGCTGAGTGACTTGGTCAAGATCACAATATTATAAAATGACAGATCCAAGATTCAAACGCTAGTAATTACAAAATCTATGCTTTAAACCCTTTATGCTATTGCTGGATTTCTCATTCTTCAGCTTCTAAATGCCATGAATTATCAAAATAAAACTCTCAATTATCTAAAATATTCTGCAGAATTACTATATCTTACATACAGAATAAGGTGGGAGAGACATAAAGTGACAACTATTTCAGAATATAAGAAATTTCTCATTACACATCTTCCAAAAAATTGGAAAATAGGGTCCTTAATAATTCAACAAACTTGACAACAGAATATTAAAGATACCACTATCCACTGTAAGTTATGGCATAATATCACAAAAATGCCCTCTTTTATTATCTTTTTATGTATTGGGTTGGCCAAGTTATATGGTTTTTCCATAAAATAAAAGACACATTTTTCATTTTCACTAATAACTTTATTGATTTGGATATTTTGAGTATTTCAGCTACCTCCTGCATGGTATAACATTCACTGCTCTCAATTAGTGTCTCCATTTGATTGCTATCAACTTCAACTGTTCTACCCAACCATGGAGCATCATCCAGTGAGAAATCTCCAGCAGGAAACTTCACAAACCAATTTTGACAAGTTTGATCATCACAACACCTTCTCCATGCACTGCACAAATCTGTCGCATTTCAGTTATCTTTACCTTTCTTGAAAAAATAAAGCATAATATGCTGAAAATGTTGCATATATTTTCTTCCATCTTCAGTATTAAAATGGCTACACAAAAATTTACCAATTTTGATTTAAGGTGTTTTTTTAAAATGCATGCTGATATGACAGCTGTCACAATACAATCTAAGAAAATTGTTTCAAATGGAGGTAAAGACAACTAAATACTATTAAAGCCCTTACAAACAAACAAACAAACACTTTCTGGCCAACCCAATATTTTCTTTCCCCATAAAAATGGTTAGCTTTTTAGCTCTGTCTAGTGTGGCTCAGTGGATTGAGTTCTGGCCTGTGAACCAAAGGGTCAACAGTTGGATTCCTAGTCTAGGGCACATACTTGGGTTGCAGGACCAGTCCCCAGTTGGGGGCACATGAGAGGCAACCACACATCGATCTTTCTCTCCTTCTCTTTCTCCCTCCTTTCCCCTCTCTAAAAAATAAATAAATAAAATCTTTCAAAAAATGGTTAGTTTTTCAGGTTGTTAAAAACAACACATCCATTTTGGGGAGCCCTAATAGTATCAAAAACCTGGAATATTGTGTTTACAGTTACTCAAAAAATACATACTAACTAACATATTAAGTTTCTTCATGTTAGAAAAAAAGAATCATTAAACATAATATGAAGGGAAAATCTCTGACTCCTGTTAAATATAATTTCAACTGACCACTGAAGGAGATTCAAGGGACTACAATATGTCTTTATTGGCTTGTTTGGTTGAAAATACTAGCCGTATTTTTTGCATGATTGCTGGGTGTTTATTTGATAATTCTCAATTATTCTGTCAAAGAGAATATTAACAAAGATAATATAAGATAAAACAGTGAGAGAGGTGGGAAGCTATTATCAAAGGCTATTTATGGGAGGAAAAAGGATAGATGTGCTCCATTCAGAAATTGTTTGATCATTTAATATGCTCTCTAAATGCAAACACTTCAAAATTTTATATCATACTGCCTATAAAAATCCTTAGGAAATAATCCATTTGAATGATAAACAGAACAATTCTGGCATTGTTTCTCTTTGAAGTATTTTTAAAGGGAATTTCTCTCCTCTCCCCTATTTCCCCAGCACCACTATCACATTTAGACAGGAGAGCCAGTGGGCACAGAAAGCTCCACATGGAGAGAAGGAATCTCAGTCAATAGGATGGAAAGAAGGTCAGACAATAGATGCTAGGCTGTAGACCAGACCAGCATTAACAGAATATTTGAAATATGATTAAGAAATGTAAGTGCTATTGTAATTTAACACACTTATAAGCTAACAGGTATGCATGGATGGCAAATATCTGTATGTATAAGTATAATACAGGGACAGAGCAGAAGGTGCTTGAATCCAGAAGCCACGGTTCTGACCTTGGAAGTCTTACTAACAAGGTCTCTTCCAGGAATTAACACATTTCATGTGTCTTCATCACAAAGAGTAAAATATTAGCATTAATAACAAATAATAAACTGTATATCTAAGTCAAGACGTATGGTTTGAAAGATGCAAGAGAACATCATTTTGATCTTTTGTTTGACAACTTATATCTTTAGAGATCTAAGCTATTTCACAACAAAAAAGGAACAGTAGAAAGGGTTAAGGGTCAGGAAAAACAAGTCTACTACTTTTCCTCAATAGCTAAGCAAAAAACTTCAAGTCCTTGGTGAACTGTAAAGCACTGAAAAAATTATGAACAATCATATGTATGCATGTGTCCATGTGTATAAAAACAATCTGAGAAAGCAGCATCACTGTAAACAGAAGTGAAATATCTACTCTTCTCTCAAGTTTTGCCCTTGAACAAGGAAGCCAGCCTTACCAAGAAACAGTGACCAGTGTCAATTCTATTTCCAGTATGAGTCAATGCATTTTATTTACATGAAGGTAGTTCTTTAGGTTGTAATTACGGAGAAAATGCAGGTGAGCCACGATCCGGGTGAAGGTGAGAAATATATATATTTCAATAGCTCAAAGAAAAATAAAAGGATAAAAATGACCATATGAAAAATGTGTCTTTTAAAGGCAAACATCAACTAAAAAATCCTCCTCCAGAATTTTGTAATATAAAATATGAAGAGATGTCAATAGACAATGGAAGTGAGAAAAAGGAATAAAAATGTTTACAAAGCTGGTAACAGGATGGTTACTGTTGCGAATTGCCCTGCCTGGATTCAGAAGCTGTAACTGTACCTGGGGCTAAGACTGAGTGAGCAACCTTCAGACCATAAGCCACTAAGGAGACAAAGCTTATCTCCCTGGCAGGAGCACTGCTTCTGGTCTTTTACTTCATCCATAACTGGCCCCCAGTGCTTGCTTGATCGGTTAGCCAATGATGAGTAAGAGTCCCCAAGGGGGGAATGACCTAACACAGGCATGATCATGTGGAGGCCCCAAGGAAGGACTTGGAGGGGTACAGCAAAAGGAAGCGACGGACCTTCACCCCTCAGCTTTGACATAGCCTGAGTCCTCATTCTGTCTTCAAGAAGTCTCCTAATCTCCTGGCTACCTTACTACTCCTACCTGACTTAAGCCTGAGACAATGCCTTAAGCCTGAAACAATGCTGGTGGTGGGTCCCCTAGGGCAATCAGGCCTAGAAACAATATGTAAAATCCTGTGAAACCTGCTTTGTTTAGAATGCTCTCAATTAAATACGGGTCCAAGCAAGAACTGAGTTTGTTCCTCAAAGTTTTATAGCTCTTTAGCTATGTGACCTTGACTCAAAATAGGCCCTCAGAGCCCTTTGTATGTTATCCATTGTTTGATCCTTACTGCCTGATAATGATCAATGAGCTTTACCTGTATTCCTGTGCAAAATGAACCCAATAAAAGCCCATTGAGGGAAAGGCTCTTGGTCCTTCTCCTTTGAGAGATCAGCCACCTTTTCTCCCCAAGCAGATCCTGTCTTGGTAGACTTATTCTCATCCCTGGCTAAAGACCTACCCCCCAGGTTACAATTTATTTTGACTAGAAAACAATCTAAACTGTTATTTCCATGCTTCTAAAAAAATCACCTTTTTAATCACAGCATTATATTTTAACTCAGTTTGTTTTCCATATAATTTAAAATTCAAGGCAAAGTCAGGTGGTTTTAATAACAGCTAGTACAAGATTCTGTCTCACCAAACTTGAGTTACCAAACTATAGATATTCCTGATTCACTTCTGTCAAAAGTTCAGCTTACTTATAATAACAAACAAGATGGGAATCTGGAAAGGGTATTGGCAAAAACACAGAAACGCTGGAGCTTAGTGGCTCGTGTGCTAACTCAGCAAGGCCAGCCTTCACTAGCTCTTTCACAGGGTGCACAAGCACTTACTCAAAGCTCCAAGACTCAGGGAAAAAAGAGCCCATCATAAATTGCCACTTCTTGTCAATAAAACAACCTGCAAACCCATGATGAAAATGTTAATTACTATTTATTCAGCAAACATTTATAGGGTACTTGGGATACAAACATGAGGAAGACACAGTCCCTACTCTACAGAGCTTACAGATCATGAGACAGATGAGAAAAAAAAAGCATAATACAACATATCTATGCTACCCATAGGAGCACAGATAAATCTTCTTTTAGAGAATATGGCTAAAACTATGAATAAGTGAGGAAATAAAACTATCAAAACACAGTGATAATGCTTATATAATGATCGAGGATTCAAAAAACAAAAAACAACTTAACTAAAAAGCAACAATGGAAACCTTTAAATTTTCAAAATGGCAGGTCATTCCTTTGTTCATTAAAAACATGTTTTAAAAGCCTATCGACAAATGCATTTACCAGTTATCAGGACGTTTTGTACTCACTTTCCTAAAACTGTTTAAAGCTGTTAATGCCCCCAATCCAGCCAGTCCCAGAGGTCCCTGATTTATGGTCCCACTTGTGCTCTGAGGCTATGCACACTGCCTGTGCCCAGTGGTTTCCCTGAACAACAAACATGTCTCAACACCACTAGGGACTATCAAATACACAATCCAAATTAAATCTGTAACAAGTTTGAATGCAGGAAAAGAAACACAACAACATACATTTGAGAAATCCATGAATCAAAGAAAAAACAAGTATGTAAAATGGAAGGCTTCAGGACAAAACAAACAAAAATGTACTGAAGTGCTGTAATGTTACCTTTTTGTGGGTAGAGGAGCCGGTTTCATGTAGAACTGCCACTCTGAATGGAGGCCACCACGTGTGAAATTCCTTCACCCACTGATGCATCACTGTCGTTGGACAGACTATTATAGTCGGACCCAAACCCTGAAACCTGTATCCAAACATCCAATAAGAAAATACAGCCATAAATGACAGCACATGAATGATCAAATGCCAAAAAGCAAAAAAGAAACAAAAACTTAACAGTTTTAAAAAGAAAATCCTACTATAGAAATTTACTGATACTTTCCTTGTAGAAAAAACTATTGTGAAATCTCTATGATCAATTAGTGAATGCAGGTATTAAAACACAAGCTAATACATTAAAAAGGTAACATCTAAAGTAAAAGAATTTCAAATAAAAATTATGTAATAAAAACTTTTTTACCTTCTCTATTTCCAATTAGTGACGGTATTACCCAATGTATCCTAAACTAAGTGCACATAAGAGTATCTTCCATTTGTTTGACCCTTTAAAGTCTACCAAGTTTTCACCCATAGAATTTCAACCAATCTCACAGCCCTGCGAAATAAGCAGGACAGAAATGCTCCAGTGTTTGAAGCCCAGAAGGTTGATGTGTCCAATGTAGTATGGTTACCAGGAGATGGAGGCAATGCCTACAAATCATTCTTCTGAAAGCTGCAGAGTGTTCTTCTACAACATCACGCTGCTCACTCCTCTATGTGGTAAAGAACAAGTAGAGGAACATCACAGCCTCATTTCTAGCAACAAGCCCATGCCAGTCAACTGCAGCCTTCTTTGTTCTTGCAGAAAACAGCCGAGCACTACATAGCAAGAGCTTTAACAACAGTCACATGTTCACCTAGCAACCCCAAAGAAACACTTATGCACTGAAACATACATTACAGCATTATTTGCACTATGGAAAAAGTAGGCCTATTTTCCCTATTGATTTCCTATTTCTACTTAAACACACACAAGTAAGAGAAAGGTCAAATAAACCATCCATTCTTTAATATAGCATAAGCTAGTGGTTAGGAGTACTGCCTGGGTATGAATCCCAGTTCTGTACATACTAACTCTGTGAGTGTGGGCACATTATTTAATCTCTCTGAACCTCAATTTTTCATCTTAAAGTAGGAACAACAATATACTGATCATACAGGGTTATATAGAGATTAAATCAGTTAACATCTATAAAGTACTTACAATACTCCTCAGTAAATAATATAAGGGCTTGTTAAATAAGATGGACTATCACATAACCATTAATATTCCCTTTGAAGAATATTTAAAAACCAGGAAAATGTTCACAGTTAAGTCTTTCAAAACACAAAATTATTTATGGAATCACAATTCACTTATGCATAGGTAGTAAACAGATTGGTCATGACCACTTTCTCAACATGTCTTTCTCCTATCTCTCCTTCCTAACAGAACCATAATTTGTGCAGGTGTCCGCTATTCCTTCCCAGGCATGTACTTCATGGGCCTCTGATCACTGTCTAGCTATAGCAAAGAGGAGAGAAGCAGGAATCCTGGTTCCTCCAGACTGTCCGCACACACCATTCCCCTGGCAATGCTTACCAGTCCACCAAGGAGCCTGAGAAGACTGGCTCACTCAGTGTAAGGAAGGATTAAGAGCAGTCTCCCGCCCTTATATGTGGTTTTGCTTTCCATGCTTTCGGTCTGAAAATAAATGGAAAGTTCCAGAAATAAACAATTTATAAGTTTTAAATTGCATGCTGCTATGAGTAGTGTGATGAAATCTCACTCAGTCTGGCTTATTCATGAATCACTGCTTTATCCACTGTAGCCATCTGGGTTATCAGATCAACTGTCATGGTATTTCAAGACCTGAGTTCAAGTAACACTTGTAGTAGCCTACACAATGCTTATGTCATTCATCTCACTTGATCCCATTGTGTACACACTGTACCATCTTACATCATTACAAGAAAAAGGGTGAGTACAGTACAATAAGGTACTTTGAGTGAGAGGCCACATTCACATAACTTTTATTAGAATATACTGTTATAACTATTTTATTTTATTATTAGTTATTATTAATTGCTTACTAATTTATAAGTTAAACTTTATCACAGGTATGTACTGTATAGGGTTCAGTACTATCCAAGCTTCCAGGCATCCACTGGAGTCTTGGGAACATAATCTCCTCTGAGGAGGAAGGATTACTGTACTTTCTAGGTTTAAAAGAGGTCTCTCCTGTTGCTTGTGAATAAGGAAATAGCCCAAAGGCCACTGAGCAGCTGGGCTACAGTGCAAGAAGATCTTATGACTACAAGGAGAACTGGCCTTAGAGGAAAATTTAAGTACCTGGGTCCCTGATGATCATGCTGTGTGCACAGCCCACTCCTCTGGCTTCTAGGTTTATCACACATATTGGGAACATTTAACCCCATTTGAGACCATGTTTTATTTAATTACAGTCAAAATATCCTGATGCATTGTACATCATAGGTACCTGACTCAATCTATATCGTCCTGCTCTCCCCTTCCCTCCTTATAATGAAACAAGTGTCCCTTCTCTTGTCTGAAACCAATCACTCGGGCTTGCTATGAGCCTGTGCCCCACTGAAGCAACACTCCCATTGCTGTGGCTGCTTCATCTAAGTGCATGATGAATATTAAGCAAGTCAAACTAACTGGGAATCTCTAACACTAGACTCACTCAACTTCTGTTACAAGAGTCAACTGGGAGCCAAGACTATTTGAGGACACTGCAGACCCAAATGGCCCATCCTCTACCTCATTCTGAAACAGTCACTGGCATTTTCAAACTGTTATTCTTCCACTCCCCACCTTCTTCTAACACAGATGTTGACTATCTGAAGTTAGGTGCACACTGCATATACCTCCCCCATGTTATCTCAATTCCCACAGTTTCAATTACTCTATACTAACAATGCCAAATCCAGGTCTCCAGACCAGCCCAGGACTCTTTCCTGAACAAAGTACCATATACTGGGAAATCTAACTGCTGGCTGATTCCACTTACATGTCCCCACGGGGTCATCCTCCCCCACCTTGCCCTCCTCCCATGTTTCCTAATCCAAACAATAGAACTGTCACCTATTCTCCAGGTGCCCAAATTGGAAATCCTGGCCTCATCCTTGGTCAGCCCCTCTTGCTCCCCACCATATCCAACCATCTATAGAGTTCCTATAATATCTGATTCCTAAATCCCTCTCAAAGCTACCCTGTCTCTCCACCTACATTGTTGATACTCCAGTTCTAGCCACTACCATCTCCTATGTGGATTATTACTCATTCTAGCATGATTATTTCAAAAAGTAAAATCTGAATGCGTCATCCCTTTGCTTAAAAAGCCTTTTAATGTTTGCCTGTTGTTCTTGGGATAGTTTTAACACTGTAACCTGGCCTATGAGCCCATGAGGATCTGACCTCTGTTCATCTACCTCTTCAGCATTACCTCTCACAGCCCCCATCCCTATACTTGCCCCTGAAGTTCAGCACTCTACCTACCAGCACTGTCTTCAGTTAATACAATGAGCATAACCCTGATCTCTCACCCTTTGCCTTGTCCCTTCTTACCCTTTATCCTAGCTACTGCTCTATCTGTCCTTCAAACATCAGCTTCTTCTATAGCATCTCTCCTGTCCTTTTCTCTCTAGGAGGGCTAAGGATCCTTCCTCAGTGTATCCACACTAATTACAACCCCACAGAAACCCTACTGTATCTCCTATTGTAACTGTGTATTAGACCCTTTCTAAGCTCCTTGAAAGTAGAGAGAGAGAGTTTCTTCAAATGATCTCAATGCCTAAACCACAGGAGGTAAGTAATGAATACTGGTTTTAATAAATGAAAATATTTTCAGAAGATTGGAATACACTGAAATGTTCAAAGAGATAATTTCTGAATTGGGGGATCATGGGTGATTTTTATTTTCTTGCTACATCTCGATAAATGATATCTAAACTTAAAAAAATTATAAATTACAGTAAATCATACAGGGCTTGAAATATTTTTTAAAATCTTCTGCAAAACTGAAAATACTTTGTAGTTCTAATAGAAAAACAAGCCGTAACTTAAATGAGGCTTACTCTTATATCCAAAATGACAAAATGCCTCCACCTACTCCTAAATCCCTTGAACCTCCAGCTACAGTCAGTGGCCCTGCCTCTTGCTCTGCAGAAAGGGCTGAGACTGCAGAATCCAGAGGCTGGAACAGACTGCAGAATTCCCAAGAATTTCTCTGCTTCTAACCAAGACAAGTCCCATGGGGGCTTCCCGGGGAGAGCGTGACTCTACCCTGGCACCTTCTAAGATAATATTCCTTTTTAAAAGGATTAAATACACCAGCATTATTCTCCAAGGGAAACAAAAGAGTTATCATCAATATGTACTTAGTAGGGATTAGGAAACATCAAAACCTGTCTAAAATAGTTAAACACAAACTCACTTTCAAATAAGCATAAATACACACACATGCTTTTTTTTAAAGGTTATACAGCCTTTTTTTCCTCTTTCTATAACATGCTTTCTGCAAACTGCTACAATGATGACTCACATTTTGTCATTTAAGGCCACTACTTTATTCTGGCTGAACATCTATCTGGCACTATTACACCCTTTAATTTCTGCCGTTTTCCCATTACTAGGAGACGATGGAGGTTTCAGGCCGAGTAGATACCTAGGAGCAGACACACATTGTTCCTGAACCACAGAAGGGGCATCAAATCCATTAACAGTCACATCAACTACACCACCCTTTTCAAACCCTCAACACAAGTGAGATGACCATTAGAAATGGCTAAATGTATTAGAGCGATTTAGAGAATCAATTATCAAACTGGCTACAATTCCTTTCATCCTTCATTATCACTGTTTCCATTTAATGAATTTAGGGCAAGCCAATAATCCCAGGGTCAAATATTTCAACCTGCAGGAAGGAAATCTGCTATTCATAGCCTCGAGCTTTCCAGAAATTACAAAGTAAAATATTTACCTTGGAAAGTTTATTGACTTTTTTAGGCCACTTATTTGTAATTAGGAATTTACTAAATGATATGCAAGACTTTAAAGTATTAACAAAAGTTTGAAAGATAAATAATTTATTTCCTCTCCATCATGAAATTTGGGGGTGGGGCAGTCTATCATAATATCAACAGCAAAGTAAAAATAAAATAGTATGTATATTAGGAACTGGGAACACAACAACCAGGATATATTTTCAATAACTGCATGCAATATGCACATCCTTCTTAAAAATACACATACAAAACACATTAAAAAACAAAAAAAATTAAAATTAAAAAATTTAAAAAAAATTTAAAAAACCCAAAACTTCTTTTGCCATGAAGTTTCTTCTTGGTATCCCAGAGACTGACACTATTTTAATAATCATAGACCTTAAAACTGCAACAATAAGACCATCTCAAATTAGGGCCCACAAATCTACAGCTTGTAGGGGTTCAGAGGAAATGTACACAGCCAATGAAGTAATGCCAAGTCACAGCACTTGATAATTCAATTTTATTTGAACTTCATTTGACTATTCATCTGACTCTTTTCCTTTAGGACATAAACAAAGAGGAAAAATCCGAATTCATTTAGTTTCTGAGGAGGACATGTTTTAATACTGCTAAACAATTTGTTCTGGCATACAAAGTGGAGGGGGCACCTCAGTATACCTCTCTCCATAAAAAGCCCAGTTGTTTTCATGATATATAATATAACCACAGTCTAGGCAGTCACTTCTACTATTTTAATGAAGATGATCTGGGCTACAGTCCAAAATGTCACACTATTTTATTATGGAAAAAGAGAATATGAGCATCAATAGTTAATTGATTACAGCTATTGCTCATTTTAGCCCTGACTTCACTTCTAGTAAGACTGTCACTACTCAAGAGAGCATGTTTTAATTTTTAGATCAAAATTACACTGCAGGGATGACTTTAGGTTTCCCAAAGTACTAGATTCCACACAAATTTCATGATAACAGAAAAAGAAGAAGAAAAGACAAGGAAAATAAGAAAATCCCAGAAATCATTTAAGGAAAAATAAAAGACAGTGTTAGAAAACATGTGGGAGAGCTCAGAGCATTCTACTTATTTAAAAAAAAAAAATGAGGACAGTTACAGAGTCAAGCTCACCTAAGAGCTTATTTAGAACAGAAAAAGCATTTTTATAAATATAAACTAATTAATGGCAGTCATGGAAAAGAAAACATGAAATGCACATCTTCATCTTGACTTTTCCCTTAGGCTGAAATGATTTCACGCATATCCAGGTAAAATGTAATAAAATTCTAATATTTGAAGAAAAACCTCTGCTTCAATGCAACCTGCTTATAATAACAACAACAACATATTTAGTACATATTTTAAAATTTCCAAATGTCTTTTCCCCTTTCCTGCATTTATATAAATATTTCTGAAATATTCTAAAACTTTAAATACACCTCATGAGAAGTGTTCATCTGCTAAATTAATACACGAGTAAGGGATTAAAAGCAAAGCACCAAACTCCAAAAATTAAAATAAAAAGCTCTTTACTCAATAGTTTGTAATTTGTATTTAGGTCTTAACTAACCTCTGTCTGCCGGTGAACCAGATTACATACAACACAGGAACCTCCTGCAATCGCTGACTTCAGGCACACTGACACTATTTTGAAGGTGTCTCCAAATCTAGAGAGTGCCTGAGGTTTCTACAACATAACCATCTGATAAATATCTTGCTGTTACTCCTTAGAAAAACCTATTGGAATCTAAGAAGCTCTCAAATTAACTGGGTTCAAGATTAAATAACCCGCATAATTTACCCAGAATTATTTTTACCAATACCAAACCACATAAATTTACAGCTTAAATATAAAAACAGTCACTGCACTAATTATAAGATAAAGTTTATTTCAGTCCAACCATACTGAGCTAACAGTTTAAAATGTTTCTTCTTTCAGAATACTATAGCTTTAATAATTTATTTAAATTCCTAAAGAAAATAAAGACTAAAATCTCACCACAGTTTTCTATCATTTTAGGATTTTAGACAGTCATTGAGGTTTTGGCCTTAGAATTCATATAAAATTCTTAAAGACTTGGAGGGGGGATAGAAAACATAGTGAGCAGATAAGTAACTTCATTAAAAAGAAATCACTCTACAAATGCTCTCATGCATACTGATTATAAAAAAAATTCAGGAGAATGGCTTCTTCAAAGCTCCAACTTTCCCCATGAATAGACTTGGTACTTACTGTAATGTTTACCTGGTGTCCTGCCAAAACAAATATTTTAATATAAAATTTAATAAATGGAACTAAATGTATCATTTCTAATTTAAAATTCCATATTGTGTAAACTATTGATATTAACATAATTGAGTTTGTAAACAATCCATTTGTAGAAGCTAACCTTAGACAACTGTATTGACCCAAAACATCTAGTGGGGCTCATCTGCAAAATGAAGGCTCAATGCCTGGAATTCATTAAAAGTGTTACATGTTTAATTTCTCCTGCCCTACAGCTCCACTGTCTCGTAAAAATTTTCCTTTGATGTCCCCCACTAAAAGAATTAAAGGAATATTGTAATTGAAATGTCATCAATAATTCACAAGACCCTCCTCCACAGCAATACATCTGATGAAATATTAATTGAGCTCCACAGACTGACAGTCTGCAGTGGAGCACTTGCCTGTAATTTGAACCACGAGTTCTGATCTTGCTGTAGCTCAGACCTGCCAAGAAGGCAATTATCTGGATGGTCTTGCCCAATCCCATTTCGTCTCCCAGAATTCCTCCTGCCTGCTGGCAGTGCAATTCCCACAGCCACCTAACACCTGTCTGCTGGTACCTACAACAACAAACACCAAGAAGAAAAAGAAAATGGCAAATGGTGAACAATACAGATCATAACAGAAAGTACTCATGAATTAATCATTTCACTAAGTTCTAGTAACAGTCAGAGGAACACGCCGGATGTGTGTTTTACATAAGTATTATATTTATAAGGTCATACATTTTTGATTACCTAGGCATAAAAGCACATTTTTTTTCTTTACAGAATGTTAACACATTTCTAATTAAATTGACAGAAAGGGAAATTAGTGACTTTTTAATTTCTTTTACAATATTAAAAATAGCTTGGTAAACAAGATAAACTTACTATCTTTTATTCAGTATCTTTCTGGAAAATATCTTAAATATTTTTAGTTTTTTAAGTGTTAATAATTTTTCTATGATAAAAACAGGTATGAACAGCATCACAAAGCAAGACAGAGAAAGCCACAATTTACGGCATATGCTGTTGAAAAGTCACTTGGTAATCATATCACTTTTTATAAAAAATTAAATTTTAAGGCCATAAACAAGTTGAATAATAGGGCTCCTCACAAAATTAATACATAAAAGATGATTCTGTCATATTACTAGCAGATGCAAAAAGAACAGTTTTTTGTTCTTTTACTCAACAATACAAAAGGGCTTTTTGATATTTTAAAGCAGAACTTGATTCATGGACTTTTTCATAGCTACAAAAACATCTGAGCTATTAAAATTTGTAAATAAAGAGTACAGACCAAAGAGAACAACATAGTCCCCTCTTTAAAAACAAGTTGGTATTTTCTTTTCTCAATGGCATGTTTAATCTATAATCTAAAGATGAAGTTTAAAAAAGAAATACGGCAAAAATTTCTGGGGGAGTGAAAGATTTAACATCACAGAATGGTATAAAGATTATATGCCAAGTTAAAAAAAAATCTAAAGCAAAACACACCTGAGTTTAAAAAAACAATGAAATCCAAAGGATTTTTTAAAGAAAAACATCAAGACTAATAAGCCCCCCACCTCAAAAGAACACGATTTTACTGTGTTACTTCCCAAATGTTTATGTATTTGGCACATAGTATGTCTACCTAAAACCTCACTATGAACTTTAGTTTAACAATTTTACTTAATCTTTTCTGAGTAAATATGTTACAATTAACCTTCCCCCAGTATTCAGCAAATCAATTCCAAAAATTTGACTCTTAACTGTTGCCACAATTATCTATCATGTAAGAAAAACTTTGAAGGATAATTTTGCTGCTTGCATCCTAGAAAAACAGGATTACAAATCAAAACACAGTATGTGCAATATGGGCAAAAGATCATTTAATTTGGGAAGTGCAAATTCCATTAACATGTTACACACAACCAGAGAATAGTGGCAACCACTTAAGAAACCTAGAGCCTACTGTCAGGGAGGCAACGGGCCATGTGGCCCGGATACAGTCTCAAAACCACCATGCAAGGAGATGAGCAGCCCATTTTACAGTTAGGAAATGAAGGCACAGAGAAGTTAAGTAACTTGCCAAAGATCATGCTGATAAGAAAGAATGAACAAGCCAGACTGAAATCCAGAACCTCAAATTCCAAACCACTTTAGAGATCATCTTGACCAGTGGTTCTCAAGGAGGGGATATTTTGCTCCCTAGGGGACATCTGGTACTACCTGGAGTCATTTTTAGTTGTTGCAAGCTGGGAAAGTGCCATTGTTTTCTAGTGGTAAAAATGAAGATGCTGGTCAACATCTTACAATGCAAAGGAATGGTGCTGGTGACAAAGAATTATTCACAGCCCAAAATATAAGTTGTGTTGAAGGTGAGAAATTCAGATCTGGGAAAAAAGCTGGTTGAGAACTGGCTAAAATACACTACTCCCAGTTTTGGAAAAAGACGTATTCAAAAAAACCTTCCCCCCAAAACTGATGTATAGTAGTCCCCTCCTTACCTATGGTTTCACTTTCCACAGTTTCAATTACTTGCAGTCAATCATAGCCCAAAAATATTAAATAGAAAATTCCAAAAATAAACAATTCATAAGTTTTAAATCAGCACACCATTCTAATTAGCATGATGAAATCTAAGGTCTTGCCACTCCCTTCTTCCAGGGACATTAATCACCCCTTTGTCCAGTGTGTACACACTATAAACACTCCCCTCCCACTGGTCACTTAGCTCTCTCAGGTGCCACATCCACTACTGAGAAATATCTCTCAGTACTTGTGTTCAGATCACCCTTATTATACTTAATAATGGCTCCTGAGCACAAGAGTAGTGAGGCTGGCAATTCAGATGTGCCAAAGAGAAGAGAAAAGGTAAAAGTTTGGTACTATCCACAGTTTCAGGCTTCTACTGAGGGTCTTTAGGGCAGGTTAAACATTTTTATGAACTACTGTACAACAACAAAGAAATTACTATGCACTGCTTCTCCCATGAGACCAAAACATCACAAAATTACCACAGATAATTGGTATATATGCACTGTCACATTAATCCAACATTGCATTTACTAGTGTGGCTAAAAGTTAAGTCAAAAGAGTGAGGTTTGTCATTCAATTGCTCAATTATACAGATGAATGCATTTGCTGGGCAAACTTTCAGAACAATTTCAAAAGTTAAACATGATCTTGCAGAAGATAGCACTTAAATAGATAATTGTACCTTCTGACTCCCTTGTGTACAATACCCTGTTAATTTAATTCCACAGAGTGCAGTAAATACAGTAAAAATATATACCTACAGTTTAAACTAAATTGGCCTACCTAAAATTTAATCAATCATAAAAGAAAATTAGACAATCCTATCATTTTTCTCATATAGGAGAAGAAACAGAATGGAAGAAGTTTTATAACATTTATGAAATATTTAAATCTTGTTTTTGAGAGATCAAAGATAAAAACAAAATATTTTCCAGGAATGTGCAATTAAGACAAGCAAAAAACCAACAAATATGTGTTTAAATTAACTACAATAAGGTTAATAGTCAAATCACTGAATCATATATCCTCTTGGTAGGCAAAGTTTAGTAGTACTAACTGTGAAATTTTTTTTTAAAGATTTTATTTATTTATTTTTAGAGAGGAAGGGAAGGAGAGAAGGAGAGAAACATCAATGTATGGTTGCCTCTTGCGCACCCCCTGCTGGGAACTGGCCTGCAACCCAGGCATGTGCCCTGACTGGGAATCGAAATGTGATCGTGTGGTTCACAGGCCTGCGCTCAATCCACTGAGCTACACCAGCCAGGGCCCTAACTGTAAAATTTTTTTTGCTAGAAAATGTCACATTTATTTAAAAAATGTACATTCAACCTGAGTCTTGAGGATATTTGCCAAATCATTTACTATACATGCAAAAGTATCTTGTCTTTGACAAATCAACTTCATCTGCAGTTGGGATATTCCTTTTGCTAGTACAACACTGATTTATCTAGCCTGTTACTAATAAGCAGCTGCTTTAGAGAAGAAAGCTAAGATGAAAAGAATTATAAATAAATATCTTTATTTACCTTTCCATAGTTAATTTTCATTTGGGAAAAGCAATAAACAAAGTAGCCACCTCTCCAAGCTGTATCTATAAAAATTACTAGAAAGAGTCAGATTTTATTTTCTTTACAGTTCCTCCATCGTTTGGCAACCCAACCAAGACACTTCACATCTTTAAGACTCAGATTTCCTATGTTTGGTGGATTAAAATAACTCTCCCCATCCTTGTTTTCTTCCCCACACTCAAGAAAAATGAAAACTATAAATAAAAACTCTTTGAGCCCTAGCTGGTATGGCTCAGTGGATTGAATGCCGGCCTGAGAATCAAAGGGTCCCCGGTTCAATTTCTAGTTAAGGGCATGTGCCTGGGTTGCACGCCAGGTCTCCAGTAGGGGGCATGTGAGAGGCAACCACACATCGATGTTTCTCTCCCTCTTTTCTTCCTCCCTCCCCCTCTATAAAATAAATAAATAAAACCTTAAATAAATAAATAAAAACTCTTTGAGATGAAATATAAAAAGCACGCTTTTGAAATAGACATCTTACAAAAGTTTAAAGCATGGCTGGCACGTACATCTATGAACAAGAGTAAACATAACCATCTTGAAAAAGGAAGTTTGCATCCTCCACCCAACTACCAAGCGATGACACAACACACAAAGAAGTTATTTAATGGTTTAACTTCCTATATGCATCAAGAAGCCTTCCTAAAGTACCTTGTTAAGTAAGTCCCAAGAGTGATGAGATCAAAAATGTGCCTCAGTATTTACATTCATCACAGGAGACTTGCCCAGATCTTGCAGTCTTTAGGCATGCATCTCTCATGCAGCATCTGGTTATCTAGAGCACTGAGACCACCCCACATATGAAACACAGTCAGTCTCAAATAGCAACTGAGTCCTGAAAGTGTTTGCCTACATCTTCTTTTTTGACACTAGAACATATACATAAAATATTTAGATATTCATTCGGTCAGCTCAGTATTATACCCTTAGGTACAATATAGGACACCCAGAAAATAATCTAAACAGTAGAAAACCTCTTAATATTGATTTTAATATACAACTCCTCTTAATCTGATTAAAGAACTTAGAAGTTTGGTTCCTTAAAATTACTAACAACAAAAAAAAGTAACTCAATGTTAATGGCTTTTAAATATGTTGCTTTTAGTCTGCTAAGGTAGGCCCATATAGATTCATCAGTTTACAAACATACCCAATGTGCACTTTAGTCAATTTATTATCATCTAATTTTAATGGAACAGCATGTAGCTAAAATTTCATTTGACAGTGTCTGCATTTTCAATAAACTGCTGCAAGTACCTAAGGGCCCATAGGTAACTACTGTGTAATTCCTAAAATATTAATCAGCACACAGAGGCCTGATGACAGACAGAAAGGAAAGAAACACATGGCACATACTTAAAAAGCTTTTTGAACAGAAAACCTGGTATTTTAAAACCTTCATCAAATTCAGCATCACTTTCCTCAGAATCATCTTCAAGCTTCGGACACTTATCTTTGTCCTGCAGTCTCTGTTTATTCCACCTCCTACCATGAAAATAAAAATCATATTGCCATTATTTTGATTATAAGACAAATTAAAATAAATAGTTCTAGATAATACACAAGAAAAAAAATCAAGCAAATTAGAATAATCTTGTAGCTTTCTGCTGCCATCATTGCCCAAAACACCAATATTCAAAGAAGAAAAACAACTAATTCTCTTTTCCTTCCTTCTCAATTCAATTCTATTTAATTATTATAGCTACACTAGAAATAGTTTTGTAAGGTCCCATTTCATTATCAAAACTACTTGCTCCTCTTCTGGCATACACAAAGGGAAAATTTCTCTTCTAGTTCCTAAGATATATGAACTTAATTCAGTGAAAATTTCAATACAAGAAATCACCAAAATGGCAATATAAAAATAGACTTTATTTATAACTACTATTTCCGTGCTAAAAATATGCTAGTAATAGTATGAAACAGCATAGTATCTTGAATATAAAGCAAATTTTTGGTCAAAATTACTATATATCTCATTCACATATTGATTACTTAATTGGGGCAGGGCATTAATAATAAGCAAAATAGAGACAGACTCATACGGAGCAGGATGACAGCTATGGGGGACTGTTGGAGGGGTGGGTCAAGGTATAGGAATTGAGCAAAAAAAGAAAAAAAACTCATGGGCACAGACAATAGTGTGGTGAATGCAGAGCGGGGTGGTGTTGTGGAGAGAGATGGAGGAGGGTAAACGGGATGCATGGTGGTGAAAGGAAACTTAACTTGGATGGTAAACACATAATATAGTATACACATGATGTGTTGTGAATTGTGCACCTGAAACCTGTATAATTTTGTTAACCAGCATCACCCCAATAAATTCAATAAAAAGGAGAAAAAACAATATAAAAGTACTAATAACTATACCACTGAGAAAAAAGTATGTTTACTAAAATCTAAGTTACAAATTTAGTAATATGATGCTTTTCACATATATAATAAAATGAGTATTTATATTTCAGAAGGGTAATGCCAAGTATGCATAAAAGAAAAAATGTCTAAAGAACTAAAAGTCTTAGCAATACACCAAGGTTGTTGGGAAGGGGTAGCCATTTAGCCATTCTAATTCTGTATTCATATAACTATAACAGACACTGGTGTCATGAGTTAAAAAAAATATCAACACCCTCACACTCTATTCACCTCCAAAATGGATAACTTTTTTCAATATGCATGCAAGTGACATTTTGAATTTCACAAAATGGTGTAAATTAATGAAAGCAATATAGATAAATGCATTTGAAGTAAAAAGCTAACAGGAAGCCAATGAGAACAGCAACATATATAAAAAGGCATTTAACCTGCCACTTACTATGCAAGAATAATAGAGAACATATGAAGAAAGTTAAAGGCGAAAATGGAACGATAACCCAAGCTGTTTACAGTGGCTTTTCCACATGAATGGCTTGTCCTGGCCCATGCTTCAGATTTTCCTAAATCCTCTCAAAAAAGCAGCACCTGCCCTCAGCAAGCCTCATACCTCTTGCTAAGTGGCCTCAGGCCTGGCACTAGCAGCAGCCGGCTTTGGTTCACTGCTTAGCCTCACCTGGTCACCTCTAAGCCCAGTACAAGGAACAGCCACCTGCAGACTGCTTTGTAAATTATGCTGTGTGACCCAGGATAGAACACAGGCAATGGCTGACCTTGCATGTCCCAACAGCAATCAAAGCTCAACTACAAAAGGAGGGTGTACACAGTCCTTACAGTGGGTGCACCTCAAATACCCAGGTTGGGTTACATGGGAGGCTGTGCCACTGGACCCTATAGGACACTTACCACATTAGGCAATACTACCAAGCCTGGGAAATGTAGCAGCCTTACCTAGTAGTACACAGAAACAAACACAGGATGACAAATGAGGAGACAAAGAAATATGGCCCAAATGAAAGAACAGAACAAAACTCCAGAATAAGAACTAAACAAAATGGAGACAAGCAAGTTACTAGATGCAAAGTTCAAAACAATGATTATAAGGATGCTCAGGGAATATAGTAAGGGCTTCCACAGGAAAACATAAAATAAAAAAGAGCGAATTGGAAACGAAGAATACGCTAATTAAGAACAATTTACAGAGAACCAACAGTAGAGTGGATAAAGCTGAGAATCAAATCAGTGATTTAGAATATAAGAAAGCAAAAAAACACCCAATCAGAACAGCAAGAAGAAAAAAGAATCCAAAAGAAATGAAGATAGCCCTAGCTTGTGTAGCTCAGTGGATTGAGCACGGGCCTATGAAGCAAAGGGTCGCTGGTTCCATACCCAGTCAAGGGACATGCCTGGGTTGCAGGGCCAGGTCCCCAGTAGGGGATGCGTGAGAGGCAAAAACACACTGATGTTTCTCTTTCTTTCTCCCTTCCTTCCCTTCTCTCTAAAACTAAATAAATAAAATCTTTAAAAAAAAAAAAGAAATGAGGATAGTGTAAGGAGGCTCTGAAACAACTTCAAGCAAACCAACATTTCATGTCATGGGGGTGCCAGAAGGAGAAGAGAGAGCACAAGAGATGGGAAACATACCGTATTTTCAGACTATAAGATGCACCTAGGTTTCAGAGGAGGAAAATAGGAAAAACAAATTGAAGCAAAAAATGTGGTAAAATACCACGTCTTATAGTCCGAAAAATGTGGTATTTGAAAAAATAATGACAGAAAACTTCCCTAACTTGGTTAAAAAACAGTCAAGTCCAGGATGTGCAGACAGTCCCAAACAAGATGAACACAAAGAGTCCCACCCTAAGACACACCATAATTAAAATGCCAAAGGTTAAAGACAAAGAGAGAATCTAAAAGCAGCCAAGAGAAAAGCAGTCATCTACAAGGGAGCTCACACAGGACTATCAGCTGATTTCTCAAAAGAAACTTTACATGCTAGGAATTGGCAAGAAACATTCAAAGGGATGAAAAGCAAGGACCTACAACCAAGATTACTGTACCCAGTAAAGAAATAATTTAGAATTGAAGAACAAGATAAAGAGCTTTCCAAGAAGGTAAAAGACTACATCACCACCAAACCAGCACTGTATGAAATGTTCAAGGGTCTTCATTAAGAAGATCAAAAACATAAATAATAAAATGGCAAAAAATACACATGTATTAACAACTGAATCTAAAAACAAAATTTTTTTTAAAAACAGAAGACAAATGGAATCATAGACACAGAGAACATTTTGTTGGTTGCCAGATGGGAGGGCATCAGCAGGATGAGTGAAAAAGGTGAAGGGATTAAGAAGCACAAATTGGTGGTTACAGAGTAGCCATAGGGATGTAAACAAAGTACAGCATAAGGAATAGAATAGCCAAAGACCACATATGCACGGCCCATGGACACGAACAACAGTGTGAGGACTGACTAAGGGATAAGGGAGATGGTTTGGATGGAGGAGGGCAAATGTGAAAAAACTGGGACAAATATAATAGGATAATCAATAAAATATAATTTAAAAAAATTAAAAGGAAGAAGAAAAAATGGAAGGATAACAGCGCATACATTCCAGGGTTACAGAATGGTGTATTTTCCAGTATCAATTACCAAACCAGCACAGAGGCCGAAAAGAGTGACAGGCAACCCCATCAAGATTGTTGCTTAAAGCACATCCTCTGATAAATCTTTGCCTTAATGAAATTTCAATTCCTCAAAGTAACAAAAAGGAAGGGTTAGCTGAAGCTGAATTGTAACCAGTAAGGAAGAACCAGCTGTGATGTAAAACTGCCTCCCAAGGCACTAAGAGAACCTACAAATCAAATTACACTGCTGGTAATTCTAGAGAAGAACAGCAAATTCTAGAGAAGAACAGTAAATGGTCAAGTGTAAGGAAATAGCTATCATATAAGGTTTAATATGTGACAGTCTCTTCATGTAAAAAAAAATAGACATTTTTGTGCTTACCTTGTAAAGGAAATCTCTTCCTATCTTTTTTTTTTTAAAGATTTTATTTATTTATCTTTAAAGGGGAAGGGAAGGAGAGAGGGATAAAAACATCAATGTATGGTTGCCTCTCATGCGTCCCCTGCTGGGAACTGGCCTACAACCCAGGCATGTGCCGACTGGGAATCGAACTGCGGTTGTTTGGTTCGCAGGCCCGTGCTCAATCCACTGAGCCACACCAGCCAGGGCTCTTCCTATCTTTTATTTGTATTTTTCTTCCTTAAACTCATTTCCATGCAACTGACCAAATGAAGTACCTCTATGTGGCAATATTAAGTCTCTACTATTCTTCTGAGTTTCACATCAGCTAGAAATTTATTTACAAGCAATGGCATATAACAGTGGTTCTCAACCAGGGTAAACTGACTATCTTATGCTGCCCCTTCCTTTGCTGCCAGGGTCATTTGACAATGCCTGCAGATATATTTGGTTGTTACAACTGCTGGGGGAGGGGAGATATCCGACTAGCATCTAGCCAGTTGAGGCCAGGGATGCTGCTAAGCATCCTACAATGTACAGGACAGTGCTCTACAATAAAATGTCATCTGATTTCAAATGTCAATAGTGCCAAGGATGAGGAACCCTGGTGTACAGGTATCCTTTACTAGTGAAACTTAAACATTTATACATTTCCCAGATATGCATGTGTGGGTGTGTATATATCTGTGTATATATACATGTATATATACACATATGAATTCTTGCTATTCACTACCCGGAATTTAGCAAGCAAGCAAATTCAGATGAGATATTCCTCAGTATCCAAACCTATTATTCAGAGCTCGGAACCAAACATCTGCATAACAAAAGATACTTCTATTTAGCAAATTTGTGGACAATACAAAATTTGAGGGAAAATCACAAAACCTATCACAGCCTCTTAAGATAATTTTATAAAAACACCAGAAGTTACTGGCTTTAGAAGTATAGCACAACAGGTCATTAACTATTTTACATATAAGAGGATCACATAATAAACTTCACTGACAGATAATGATTATTTCCTCAGACATAGCCAGGAATTCTCTATGGCTGTTAAATTTCTCACCCCATCACTCAC